GCAACACCATTTTTCCCGTTTGAGCAGCTAGGGGGTCGCACGCACACAAGAGACTCTCGTTCGTACCCCTAGTTCTGACCCCAACTGTTCCATATATTTACGGTAGCTCTGTAGTGGACGACCAAACAAAAGTGACCATCAGGGAAATATTTCGCACAACGTAAAACAGGCATGTACTAGTTCATTCGTTCGACAGATGGAATGTGGAAGCAAAAATTGTTGATTAAATATGGACCAAGTTCAAGCACCAATGACGTAGGGGGGTTTAAGATTGCAGATTCTCAAATTTAAACAGAAAATAAATGGCTGAATGAGTGCTGGACGCAGCTGGGATTTACAAGACGAACTTTTATATTTAGAAGTACCATATACTCCCATACGGTGTGAATTTCTTATTCGTCTCCAGATCCGTCTACCCCATTGAGCTACACCAGTGAAATCTAAGGAAGTATACATAACGCCATGTGCAGCTTACGCCGCGCTGCTTACGTTATCATCATATTGTAGACCCGGGTGACCATGAAAGCATCAAGGAGAAGCATGTTTGTCTGATGTCCATAATAGTAGGAATTACATGGAAATAAATGAACGACTGAGACCCACAATGTACGTGGATAGTGGGCTGGTGAAACCTTATAACTACGTGCCACCTGTTCACACGGCGCACATATACATACGTATGCAGTATCCGAATTCTTTTTACTCCCTTCAGTGGAGGACGAGAAGGATCAGTGTTAGAGCGCGAATTTACTGATCGGAAGTCCTCGGTTTAAACCCCACCTCTGCCTCTCGACTTCTCCTGTCTAGGCTTCGGCAACCTGGCAGTATCCCAGCCCTCGTGCTTCATTCGTATGGCATAGCAGCTAGGCACCGAAAGGGTGCCACAGTTGAATGATTACTATTATTATTATTATTATTATTACTATTATTACTATCAACTCCCTTCAGCCGCGGGCGTAAAACACGAGAGTTACGTAAAGCGTGACAACAATTCGAGAAATACACTCATCAATCTGGTTGTAACAATTAATTCAACTGAATAAATCGTTTACGATATTCGAAATATTTTACGCAACCTAATGAGTAGTGTGCCTCTGAGTGGAAACAATGTTCCACCGACACTCACTCGCGGTAACCAACTGTTTTTGTGCACATCAGATTTCTCAGCTACAAACCATTGTAAAAAGTACAATGGCTGCAGATACCACAGCATCGTTCCGAGACTATAAACAGAACAATGGGATGACAGTCATACCTCGGAGCCGATGGCCTAGCCGGTTCGTCGACGTTCAATGGTTCTGTTTGTCCTGTATGACAGGGAGTTAATGAGTTACGCGGTGAAAGTAATAACTTTGGCGCAACGCACCCACGGACTGTGTGAAATAGGCATTTCTGTCAGGGTTACGAACCATTGTTTTGTCTCGTCCCGTGGTCCATATCCGGGGGACGCCAGTTACCTATGCGACAGAGTTGACTGGTAAGGGCTTTCATGTTTCATTGCCACGTCGAAGACTGGGTGGTCTCCGAATCTCAGGGCTCTGTGAGGCAAAGGGTCCACCATCGTACGAAGTGCATGACCCAACAGATTCAACATTGGCGGTGACTAGCTGATCTATTGAGAGTTCCCTTTGCAGAAAATTACTTGGCGCACTTTAGCATCACTGGTCCGATGTTGAGAGCATGAATGTGGAACAGACCTTTTGAAGTTTAGTAAGGCTTTGTCTGATAAGGGGCTTAATAAAGCAATAAGGGTGCCGTGCCACCCGAGGGTAGCACGATGGCTGAGGTACTGCCAGGTTGCCCAGGTGTTGGTGGCCGAAAAGCCGAGGTGCTTGAATTAATATATCACACATGCAATCGCCAGGATTTTCAATAAGGACCCAAAATGCCGTGATCAGATTAAAACAGAACCTTAATTTAGCTTATAACAGATCACCACCAAGAAGCGGCATTTAACTGTTACTTCCGAAATATACGTTTGTCAGAGCAGATTCCTCTCTCTTACCATAACCAGATCACTGAAAAAATAATTGTTCGTTCGGGCTTTGAAACTGAACTTTTCTTCTTGAGGGCCCCGAGAGCAGCTCATCATGGAAAACACCTGCGGTGGGTTGGAACTTTTGGAAACCTGAGCTGAGCTGCCGATGATTCCATTATTTCTTCTTCATTTAAAAGGTTTGCGCTCTAAGTGATGCGCTGATGCGGTCTAGCTATCAATGTATATTAGCATTCATGTGGTGGTACGAGTAGGACTGCAATGTTGAGTACAGTATGAGCTTTACATGATTACGTTCTATTGCTTACTCTTCTGTGCACACCCCTGTCTGAATGTTCGATGTACATGTTAAATGTACCAACTCGAGACTACTTTGTCGTCGGTTGCTTCAACTGTACAGCTTGTTTGTGTTATTTCTTGTTTTCCACAAAGTCAAACCTCTAAGTCTTTCAGTGTCAGAATGCAGAATGACAACAGTTGAGTTATGCGAAATTTTTCGAACAGATTACCGGGTTTTGAACAAAGTTCCAAAAATAGTACACATCAAAAAACCAAGCTGAAGGTCAGTTCGGGACTTAATGACAAGCAGGGAGTCGAAAGAGACGCCTGGGTGGTTCCCAAGAAATTTAACACCATGAAGGATATTCCATCGCTAACCACAGGAGCCTCACTGCGGGCATGGTGTTCCAGTGGCCAGAAAAGGTGGTAATACGATATTGTTTACCTTGGAGTTGTCAATCGCTTACGTTGCACACAAAGTAACATGAAGACGTACATAACATTCACAAGTTAATTATCAGGGCTCGAGAGATTCTCCTGCATCGTGCGCATAAGCATAGACAAGCGGCGCTCGGTTTTTCTGGAAACAGCAATCTCCTTGAAGCCTAGCCGCCTGGCTTTCTGTTGTCTAAGACGAGTTCGGCGCCGTGTTAATGTGAGGACAAGCTTGGGGTCCAGCGGCGCAGCGCCCGGAAATTTGGGTTGACAAGCTTCATCTAAAGTCTGGCCCGTGAAAACATGAAAACGTAGCATATTATTGTTCGGCTTTGAAGGAAGCAGGGGAGTGCGACGGGAACGCAATACTCGACCTTCCAGTAGTGATTCCAGACCAACCAATTTGGGAGGTGAATATCTTGAAATCAACCAGCTGGGTGAGGGTTGGACAGGGGAGGGGGGGATGTTCTCTTGTTCCTGTGAATTAAGATTAAGTCGTTGTTGTGGTGAATCGTCTGACGGAGAGACGTGTGGATTTTCCATATAGAGTGATATGCGACGGTTTACTTTCACAGAAGATTTATCGTCTGGTTCGTGCGTCCGATTCGCTAGGACGGACAGTGTGATGTCGGAGGATTCTTCGTCCAGCGAAGGGAGAATGGGAGAAGGAAGAGCTGCACCTGAATCATTCTGACTGTCACCCACAAATTGTTCGGCCTACAAAATCGAAATGAGGTTGAAATTAGGTTGTGAAAGAATATAGCACATCGCACCACTAATTCACGAGAGAAGTTGGCGAACGAACCGCTATGGATATCCACACTGAGCAAATGAAATGAATAAGTCTACAAAAAACCCAAGTAGTTGTGAATAGGAGGATATTCAGTTCTGGAGATTTTGGCTGAATGGCATGCTTGGTTATTGCCGTCGTGTCACATTAAGGGAGGATAAATATGAGTGGACAACTATGTGTTGAAGGTAGAATTACAACGCAAACCAAGAATGGGATACAGACTGATTTAGTGGTCGTACAGGTATACGAGCGAACTTTGATGAGCCCATTGACTGAAATATATACATGTGACAGCGACTGTTGCCATTCACTCACGAGAAGATAGGCTAATCGCCCAAGACAAATACTGATATACAAATTTACGAGCTTGCGTACTTCGATGTCAGGGCATTCCATTTCGGAAATTAAATGGGGAAATGCGGTACTTCAAAATGAAAAAAAAGAACCGGGTCATTAATTAAATAGATGATACTCATGATCAATGAAAACGATAAGCCATACATCAGCACAAATATATCGGAAATTTCTATGAAGAGAAACTGACGGTATAATTTTGAGTTTCCGCATATGGTCCGAAGCGCGAGAAGTATGTAAATGGGGGATAACTAGCTTATTCCAATGTGTACTTTGGTTGACATCAAACATTCAAACGACCAGGGAATTTCACAAATGCACAAAAACATCAAGTTTTGGAATTTCATGGAAATGAGTCTTCTGCTTTCGTGCACCCGATATGTTCGTATTTTGCCGAGTTTCGAAATGAGCAACATCGACATAAATGGGCTTACCAGGTGTTCCTGTCCGGATTTCTTCTTGGGCCAAAATCAGTGCCTCCTAAACTCACCTGAATATCAACCAGCTGACCACAAACCATTTGCATGGAAATTGGGTCCGATTCTATATTGACCTGACCAACCAAGCTATTCATGAATTAAGTTGCTCTAGCATCCGCATAGTTTCGGCTTTCAAGGCATTTGAGTATTGATCCGGTCCAATCACTGCATGTGCATAAGTGTTCGAAGACAATACAGATGGGAACGATCGGGAATCCGGGCAAGAGGCTGACACATTGTCCACATTTTACTGCCGTGGGAGAAATGTGCACAACGCACCGCGAATTTCACGTCCGTTTGTGAACAGTGATCACCGGAGGCAAGCATTTTGAATTCTTCCGAATACGACGTTAGTCTTCGATTATTACTATCCTCGATACTGCCCTAAAGCTTCCACCTAGACGTCGTGGTGGAGCTCGAATGCCGCAATGGTTTCGTGGGCTATACTAGCTGGTACGTCGTTCTACAAAGTGCAACCATTTAGGGAGGCCAAACGGGAGCACTCAGATCAAGAGCAGCGGGACCTTCTACTATGAGCGAGCGATCGAATTACGAGGCGGTCTGGAGGCAAAGTCCTACTGTCTTCTTCAATCGAACTATGAAGGAAACAAGGTGTTTTCCCCCAGGCGACCAGCATGTTCATATGCGCTGTTTCCTTCCCACCGGATGGCCTACTGGTCAGAGCGCGAATTTACTGACCGGAAAGTCCGTGGTTCGAACCCGAACTCTGCCTCTCGACTTCTCCTGTCTAGGCTTCGGCAACCTGGCAGTATCCCAGCCCTCGTGCTTCATTCGGATGGTATGGCAGTTAGCCACCAAAAGGATGCTACAGCAGAACCCCACCGGAAGGCAGAAGAAAACCTCACTCCTAAAGGCCGCGTACTCCGACCATCCACCAGAGCACGAGTTAATGCGGTCGAAATACTTATCAGCAGACACATGCGCGCAGCCGCGTTAGGAGTCAGAAAGTAATGCTTTACATCCTCAGGTCAGACCAGCCTCCTGCGGCCGAGCAGGTAGAGATTATGAGTCATTGGTTGCGGGTATGGATTGCAAAGGAAACCCTACGAAACAGATAGCGACTCCCTCAGTTATATGCTAATCATCAACTGTTTCTCGCCAATCTGAACTTTCAGCATAAACATACGCATTGCGTAACCTGGCCGCAACCAGATGAAAACCAACCGCGGACTAAGCTCGGTCAAGTGGCCAACGGCCAGCGGCGGGGCCACAATTCAAGATTGTCGTTCCTTGTGAAGCACAACTTGGTTCTGATCATGTCATAGTGCCAGCGCGCCTGACAGTTTGTTTCACCTCAGGCCCTCACAAGTCAGCGAGAAGGACACCAATCCACCATAGCTCGACAGTAACGATCTAAGCAAGTCCGGCTATCCTCCACAGTAAAGTAACATTGTACTGGTAGCGAGAATGTGGATGTGGCACGGAAAAGTGTGAAAGAAGCTATGTTAAGGGCCTTCAAAGCTGTCTATTCGACTTATCCGATATAATCAAATGACCACTAAATATAACCGAAGTTGCTAGCAGGAAATCTATGCCATCGGGCAACCAGTATGACGGCGCTAACAAATGCCTGAAACGCCATTCAGTCAAGAAAATAAGGGAAGACCAAAAGCTCTGTTGAACATCGAGAGCTCGGGAGATGGAGAAGGCTTTTGCCGCAGGAAACAGCCTTAAACTGTGTTAACGGATACGACCGACTGGCCCTAGGAAAGCAACGATCAGTGAAAGGACGGGTGGAGAAAGGGGCTCAGTAATTCCCTCGCAAAAAAAGGTCAACTTGAAAGATGAGCTGAACACTTCGGAAAACAAATTAGCTGGCCTCCTGAAACACGGCATCTGAAGATAGTGCATACGGGCGAACGGAACGTAAACCTTAATCGCCCGTCATAAAAAGAAATAAAGTACAAAATATCCGTACTGAGGCGTGAAAAGAAACAAAGACCGGACAGTCTGTATCCAATACTTTTCAAAGAAGGCGTAGAATCTCTGGAGACCCATCTGATTAAACTAATTGGGGCGGTATGGAGTGAAGAGAAAGAACGTGCAGAATGGGGTATGTCGACAGTCATTCTTGCCTCCCAAAAGAGTACGCGGACGCTGTGTGAAAGCTACCGTGGCATCAGCCTGATAGTGGTATCAGTGAAGGTGCTCTCCGATCTTTTCCTTTGAAGGTTAACGGAACACACTAAGAGACAGATACGCGTAAAACAGAGCTGGGTTCCGCCCCGCATCACACCTTCAGCCTCCGACAGATTATGAACTGCTTCCAGCAACCAACAATGGTTGATTTCTTCGACCAAAAAGCTGCCCTTGACTCTGTGGATCGTCAGGTACTATGACACTCTATGGAGCAAAGGTGTATCGCATAACTTCTTGACCCTCCTTAAGGCACTATACGTCAACCCCAGCGGACGTGTGAAGGTCTACGGGAAGCTCTCGTCACATGAAATGGCACCAGGTAAGGCTATCCTTTCCCATCTTTTCTCTCAAGATTGTCGTTCCTTGTGAAGCACAACTTGGTTCTGATCATGTCATAGTGCCAGCGCGCCTGACAGTTTGTTTCACCTCAGGCCCTCACAAGTCAGCGAGAAGGACACCAATCCACCATAGCTCATCTGTAACGATCTAAGCAAGTCCGGCTATCCTCCACAGTAAAGTAACATTGTACTGGTAGCGAGAATGTGGATGTGGCACGGAAAAGTGTGAAAGAAGCTATGTTAAGGGCCTTCAAAGCTGTCTATTCGACTTATCCGATATAATCAAATGACCACTAAATATAACCGAAGTTGCTAGCAGGAAATCTATGCCATCGGGCAACCAGTATGACGGCGCTAACAAATGCCTGAAACGCCATTCAGTCAAGAAAATAAGGGAAGACCAAAAGCTCTGTTGAACATCGAGAGCTCGGGAGATGGAGAAGGCTTTTGCCGCAGGAAACAGCCTTAAACTGTGTTAACGGATACGACCGACTGGCCCTAGGAAAGCAACGATCAGTGAAAGGACGGGTGGAGAAAGGGGCTCAGTAATTCCCTCGCAAAAAAAGGTCAACTTGAAAGATGAGCTGAACACTTCGGAAAACAAATTAGCTGGCCTCCTGAAACACGGCATCTGAAGATAGTGCATACGGGCGAACGGAACGTAAACCTTAATCGCCCGTCATAAAAAGAAATAAAGTACAAAATATCCGTACTGAGGCGTGAAAAGAAACAAAGACCGGACAGTCTGTATCCAATACTTTTCAAAGAAGGCGTAGAATCTCTGGAGACCCATCTGATTAAACTAATTGGGGCGGTATGGAGTGAAGAGAAAGAACGTGCAGAATGGGGTATGTCGACAGTCATTCTTGCCTCCCAAAAGAGTACGCGGACGCTGTGTGAAAGCTACCGTGGCATCAGCCTGATAGTGGTATCAGTGAAGGTGCTCTCCGATCTTTTCCTTTGAAGGTTAACGGAACACACTAAGAGACAGATACGCGTAAAACAGAGCTGGGTTCCGCCCCGCATCACACCTTCAGCCTCCGACAGATTATGAACTGCTTCCAGCAACCAACAATGGTTGATTTCTTCGACCAAAAAGCTGCCCTTGACTCTGTGGATCGTCAGGTACTATGACACTCTATGGAGCAAAGGTGTATCGCATAACTTCTTGACCCTCCTTAAGGCACTATACGTCAACCCCAGCGGACGTGTGAAGGTCTACGGGAAGCTCTCGTCACATGAAATGGCACCAGGTAAGGCTATCCTTTCCCATCTTTTCTCTTCAACTTTGTCATCGAAACGATTATGGAATACTCACTCCCAGTCCCAAACACGTATGGGACCAAAATCTTCCCAGGGTATTTGCTCACAAATATCGAGTGCGCAAACGACATAGCTTTTCTTGGACCTGACCCCGTGGTAATGCAAACGATATTAAATAATCTAAATAATTCTGCCTCCTGGTTTGGTATGCGCTTAACACCTGCGAAGTGCTACCGAAACAGTGGGTGGGCTCGAACACTAAGTTCATGCTTGCTGAAGGTAAGAGACAAGGTACGAGACAATTTTGCTTACCTTGGTAGCTGTATCAGTTCCGGTGGTCTAGCGAGGATTGGGAAGATCAGAGCGAATTCTATGGACCTGCATCGCCTGTGGCGTAGGCATGACATCACCTTATCCGTTAAGATCGAGTTTACAATGAAATGATGCGCTACATATTATCATACTGGTCAGGAACCTGGTCGCTGCGCTCTGAGAATGTCGAAAATCTATCAGTGTTCGACCATCGATGTCTTCGGAGCATTACCCGAGTCTGGTGGGCAGACCAGATTTGTAATGCTGAAGTACAAATGGTTTTTGGAGGAAACAACTCGCCCACGATAGATGAAGTGAACATACTCTACAGGTTGCGCTGGCTTGGCCACGTGCTCCGTATGCGTCGACCAAATTCCTCGAAGAGCCCTTTTCGCACAACCATGCAAAGGGTGCAAACGAGCCATAAAAGGCCAAACACTGACTGGGCATCGAATTACGAAAGACATTACCAGCAAATTCAGCTAGTTATTACCGTCTCCCATTCTGAGATGGGACATTGTCAGATATTGTCAGACAAGGCACGGTCACACTCTCAATGGCACTCATGCATCCAAGCTGTTGCCTTCACTGCTAAGCTCCACTCTGACACCTGTGTATTTACGCATGAATGTTTTCAGCTACCACCTCCAGATACCTACCCCACCACCTCAGCGAACAACTGCATGGCAGGTACGTGGTTTTTACAGCCGATGATGATTACGTTGACTACGGTGCAGTACGCCGGGACATTATCAGAATTATGTCCACCTTTAACATCATCATCGACAGCATGACATCAGTGTTTAACACCGATGCTTCAGTGCCGTACAACCATGGTTTATTTGAAAGCATTATTGTGGAGAAAAGGATAAAGGTGGAGGGGGAAGGGCTTGTTGCTGGCTTACTACAATCATTCCAAGGTGCCTACACCTCCAAACACTTATTCAGGCAATCTGGATAGGAATTGACAACAT